GTCGGGATATTCGTGTTGGCCTTTTTCATTGTATTAAAGACTTCTCTATGTAATCGTAGTTGGTTCCCTAACTCTAGGTTAACTGTTTATGATAACATTGTTTGCGTTATTAGGAATCTTTTATGTAAATAAATCACTTCTGATTATGGCGATTATGGCGGTGGACTTGCGGGTGACGTATTGGAATCATCGTCACCAAACATGCTCGTCCTTTCATTCGTGATGGCGCTATAACGTGACGGTCAATCCTATTATTCGTTGACAAAGAGTAGCCCAAGAGTTGGCGGTGTCTAGTGTTAACTACTTGCCCTCCATTTAGTCTATCTCTGCTAAATTATGAACGGCTAGCGCAGATAGCTCTCGAGTAGCTTTGCGCAAAGTTCAAAAATACCCCCCCCCCCAATAGAAGAAGCTTTTGCGCTGAATGGCGAGGACAATTTTATATCATAGGTCTGTGCAAACATTCCATTAACTCTAAACTCTACACGAATGTCGCCTTCCAAGGCCACGTTTAAACAAAGGTTAAACAGATGTCCAAAAGTTCAGACACGGGAGACTTTGTACGCTCCCCTTTTCCAAAGTACTCTCTCTCTCACACACAACGCACACACTGATATAGACTTAAATGAGTGCTTCGACGCTTCAAATTGACGTGAGCATACTTTCTAGCCGTTTTGACCACAAAGTGCAGGGATTGTAGTGTTGGATAATTGGTGTAATTGGATTATTCTGATATAGCTTTTGCCTTACTATGCACTTAGTCATGTTTGCGTTATATAAGCCTGACGGTAAACTTTCTTCTTACTTTCTGTACCATTTTCGAAAGCCATCTCGTGAGTATTACCTGTTTCTTGTTGTTATACACCGAAGTCTCTACCTATAGTAGTACAGATTTCTATCTTTCGGGTACGAGATACATTTTTTGTAAAGGTTTTCTGCAGTTTTTCTCTTACCTTGTGACAGCATCTTCATGAACTATTCAGTGCACTACTGATTATATGTTAGTCATTGCACGGTATGAATGTGACACTTTTAAATGGTTTTATATCCTCATAGTCATGCGGATCTTTCCTTGCTATTTATTATGTTAAAGATAACTGTTTTAGGAATTGACATGTTCAAAGCTTTGTAGTTTTGCTATTTCGCGATACTAATACCCTTCCACGGAAATTGCTGTCCCATAAACCTCGAGCCATACGTGCACTCGCATGACAGCAACACGTATAGTCTTGCATTTACTATGATTAAAATGTATAGGCTTAAACATGTCTCCCATAACGGTACGGTTAGCATCTTCAGCGCGACGCAATGAGCATAAGCAAAGAATTTTTATAAAATACTATTAAACTTTTGTATAACATGCACTTTTAGGGTTTTAGCAGTGCACATTATTCATTGAACTGCCCTTTAACAAATGTTTTATACTTGCATTTAAATAGATGTGACTATTGTTCTGACCTTACAAACCTGTATTAAAATGAGACTATATATGCACAATCTCATGTTCTTAGCTGGATTCGAACTACCATCGTAGTTGTCAATAACACTTTCTTAAGATCATAACTAATATTAGTGCAAATGATCATAAAATTTGATTAAATTATGCAAAAATTTTCTTTTTTAACACAAATATGTTTTAATATACAAACAACAATGCAATTTACAATAACAGTTATTACAAATAGTTATTACACACAATGATTTATATAGAAAAAAAATTCCAAACTTACAAGCAATATAAAGTCTTCTTTCTAGTCTGGAACTTCCTTGATATCATATAGAGGGTTCACGATGAACGAGTTAATTACGAGTTGATGTAGGTACGATTCGCTTAACGGGAAGCTATCTAGCTTTGTCCTTCGTTATTCACCAACCACACACGCCGAGTTTTCCACCGTGAAGTTATATAATGTTTTCGTAAAAATACTAATGTCCAATGAGAATCTACTGAAGTTAAATGATTTGTAATGTTCGAACTTTGTAAATGCTCCTAGTCAAATATCTGAAGTTTATTAGGTTTACGGGAAAAGTTAGCATTTAACCAGAAAAGCGGAGAAAG